TTAAGCACCTAGATCCTTGTCTTGAGTAGTATACAAGGAGGTAGTCCTCTCCACGGTTCAAGTTGGGCCAGAAACAGGTTTGGATTGGATGTTAAAAAATTACTATATTATCTAATTGTGGTTCAAAAAAGTTCTTGATTTTTAGAATCAAAATTGTCATAAAATTGGAGCATCAGAATCGAAATAGAATCGTAAACTAGAATTCTAAAAAATTGAACTATGAAAAAAATTATTTTTCTTCTTTTTTTACATTCTTCTTTTAATCCATTTTTAATTACTCTTTAGAAACAAGTCCATACAATCTATATGATAAAATAAGAAACTAAGTTGTGATTTTGAATTTTAAATATAGGATATGAAATTTTTTGCATAATATAACATATAATAATAACATATATGTGGTCATTCATTAGTTCAAAATTTATTTTAGGTACATTAATTAATAAAAAATATAAAATTCATTTTTTTACAAATTTCAGCTTCACAATTGTGAGTTTTTATGGAGTTAAAAATTAATTTTCAGGACAATATAGTAATAATTTAATTTATTATGTACTACTATTTAAAGCAAATGTAAAAAAGAAAATTCCAATCAAAATATTTAAACAAATTATTAGTTTGGGCAGAAACCAAGCTTATTAGCTGGTAGAAGGTAAGAGTGGAATGTAAATCTTTATTTTTATTTCTATTTATCTAAAATATATTGGAGAATATAATATTTTAAATATAAATTTAAAAAGAAAAAGAAAGGCCAGGCAAAGCGCGGTGACCCAACTAATGTTAATAAAATATGCTAAATTAATTTTTAATAAAGTAGCATATTAACAAAGTAACATGGGATCAATCATATTTTGGTGTGTGGACAAAAATCATATATAGACAACAAAAATTCATTATAGAGCCAAATGAGGAGGGGAATATAGAAACAACAATTGAAATAGTAGAAAAAAATGGTTAAGGTAAAAAATAAGGAGATACACTATTTAAGTTAAAAGAACTACATAGCTTTTGATTCATATAAACTCCAAGAAAAAACGTAGGTATCTTATAATTGATACGAAATTAAGTTAAATTTATAAGATTAAATTCTTATTTTAAAACATTAAATATTTAAAATATTTTAAGAATATCTAATAATCTATTTATAAGATTAAATTAATTATAATTTAAAATAAAAAATTTTCAGTTAAACTAGGATCAGATCAAGATCGGAACTAAACCGAAATTAAAATTAGAACTAAAATTGGAGCTGACTTAAAATTCTGAAGGTTGGATTAGGGTACCCACTTAAAACTGTGATGATTCGGGATCGAAACTAGAGTAATTGTCATAATTTTCATCTTTGTTTATGGCTTTTAGGAAGCTTCAATTTGGTATAGTTCATGATCTGTGAGCAAGGCTATAAGGAGGTGTCCTCCAACCATTTGTAATATTAAGCCAAGTGAAGTCATCTTGTAAATTATTTCTTGAGTAAATTTTCTCTTTTGCATCCTTATTCATATTGAGGTAATTCTTCCCTTATTGGCTGTAATTCTCCACAATTGATCGTCAATCTTGGGCCAGCAAGGGTATTTTATATGTGCTACATTATTTTTTTAAAATAATTATTATGACATAAACAAGACTAGTTAGGAGTGTTCATGCTTTGATTTGATGTTTAAATTCAAACCAAACAATATTTTATGCTTTGTGACTTTTATTAAATCAAATCACTGTTCACAGTTTGATCCCATTTGAAATCACATATTTGTGATTTGCAAAAATAAAATAGATTAAATTGACTATTTTATACAAATTTTGACAGAATTTTTCTAAAATTAGAATTCAAAATATTTTTTTCAACTTGTTTAATTTAACAAATTTATTATTTATCAATTACACATAGTAATCATACATTATACAACATATATATTTATATATTATAATAAAATTTGAATCATTCTAATAGAAAAATAATAAGTTATTAGAAAAAGTACAAATATAAAAGATTACAGAAAGAAGAAGTATATGGTTTGATTCAGTATATATGTATGGTTTGTTTAAATATTAAAAATCAAACAAAATTGTATAAAAAAATCATTTACAAACTAAACCAAATTAAACTGTGGTTTAGTCAATTTAACTAGTTTGGCTCTATTTGTTAATATCTTGAGATTGGTATAAAGAGAGTAATTTCTTTTAACAAAAGAACAAGGAAAGAAATGACTCTAATTTCTCTACTTGTTTGGATAGTTGGTGAGAATGGAAAGAATATTATATGATTATTATTTAATTTTTTGCTTTCTATGTTTAGTTATTATTAAATTTTTTGGATAATTTCTTTCTCTCAAAATCTTCCCAATTTTGAGACAAGCAACCAGTGATTCCTCATTTTTGAATAAGTAGCAAATGATAACTCCATTGTTTGATGTTCACAAAGATTAAAAAATAATAATATTTCTAACAATCCTCCTAGCTCAACAGCTAAAGGAAAATCAAGAAAGAGTAATTTTTGCACTAATAAATATATAGAAAATTGTCTAAACAGAATAAGATATTCACTGTATTATAGTTGATATTGGTACTATCAACTGTAATATTAAAGAAATTGATTGTTGAAGAATGTATTAGAATGACAATCATTTGAACGGGGGATTTTCAACAAGAAAGAGCAATAATGACCCACCCTTTCCAACCCTATAACATCCATTGGCCAGCCTCCTCCAAAAAAAAAAAAAAAAAAATTCCTCCTAGTGGTTGGTTTTCACCTTGGCTTTTAGTTTCTTGATGATATCTTGGTTTAGTTGAAGCTGCCTAAGCCCTGTCCTCAGAGTTCACAGTTGCCAACTCTTTTATGTTTCTGTCATTTCAATCCTTTTTAATCTTTTACTATTAGCCACAAAGTTTCATATTTATTTTGATAATAATAAAATAAATTAAAATTATTATATGTATATATTTATATAATGGATAATATGAACAATTTATAATATTAAGTTTATTATTTAACTACATACACTATATGAGCTAGATTGTGAAATTGTCAAATTAGACATATGTGTAGTAAATTGATTATATCTTACTATAGAAAAGTCAAAAAATAATAAAGTCAATTTTATATGAAACTATACTCTAATATCTTTATTTGATGTATAATTTACCTTATATAATATTTTATATTAAAAAAGTTTATTATATTAATCTCATATATTATTTTCTGAAAAAGTCATTTTTGAAAATCTGCACGATATTAATTTTAATTAGTAAAATATAACTTATGATATAAATAAAATTCTGAATTAATTTTATTTGTAAATTAGATGTGCTTATCTTTAAATGAATATATTGTATGCATGTTTTACATTTATAGATGGATAGATATAATTTTTCAAAGTGGGCCATTTTGTTGAGTTATACTGTCAGCAGACAAAATGAGTATACTACAGCATTTTTATCATATCTCAATATATAAAAGTCAAATTTGTAAAAATCTAATTTTCAATAAAAGTAGACATTATAAGCTTTTCAGCAATATATAATTCGTTATTTTTGAATATAAATTCAAATTTCTAGACAATTTTGAACTTAGCCAATAACTTTTATTAAAAGTAATTTTACAGTCTAGCATGTCATTGAAGATTTGATGATTTCTCTCAAACGGTACACGATAATTCAATGATTCTTTTTTCATTTGAAAGTAGACTAATTGAGGAGTATTCAAGAATTTTTTAAAGCATTTTTGAACATTCAGAACCATTTTATTTGAATTTTTGAAACGAGCCAATGTGCAGTTACTGTTAACAAATGATTTTGTTTTCCACAAAGGTTAACGTCTCTTAGGTGTTTTTGCCTATAAAAAGGAGTATAGATTGAAGGGAGAAGGACACAACAATAAGCTCTCAAAGCCTACTCAATCTCTCTCTAATTCTTTGTGCTATATTGTTTATTATTAGATCAAATAGTGTATAGAGCAAATTATTTTATTCTTAAGAGTGCCTCTTTGAAGTGAGATCATTTTTTTACATGAGTGGTAGCTAATCCTACTTAAGAGGAATTGCTACATTCCTACTATATTTTCATTACCATTTGTATTAGTGTTTGAATCTCACCGAATCAAAGGCTTTGTAATCGAGATTTCTTGTTTCTGCCAAGTGCAAGGGACTTTGTTTGTATTCGGGATTTCTTGCCTTCGTCAAGTGCAAGAGACTTAGTGAAATCTCGGCCGGTTGGAGCTCGAGAGAGTGGACGTAGACTTGGGTAGCAAGTCAAACCACTATAAAAGAGTTTGTATTTCTTATCCCTACTCTCTTTACTTTACTTAAAATTATTTTATATTTATTATCAGGTGAATTGTATAAGTTTATTTGATTCAATATTTTTATTATTGTTTTTAATTTTCACACTCTTAATTTCTATGATAAAAACCCAATTCACCCCCCTTTTGAGTTGCTTTTTGGGACAACATTCACATGCTATGGTATTAAAAATTTGTTTCTCCCATATCTCAGTCTCACACACCATCCTCCATGGACTTTCTCTTGGCATGGTAGCCTCAAACATGAATTCAATAAGAACTACAATATGAATACAAATAAGAAACATGTATTGTTGTTCCCACCTATAGTTCTCTGAGTATCGTTAAAGATTTCCTCATGTTCACGAGGTACTTTTATCATAACTGCATTTTCTTCAAGGAAATGAACGACATTCTCCAACCACCAAATGACTAGATCAAAATTGTAGCTAAGAAGCCTCAAAGACTCCTCAAGTTGCTTCACCAGAGCACGATAATGGAGGAGATTGGAACATTGACTGCATTTTAAAAAGTTAGCCCTACTATTTTAAAAACATTTCATGAAAGGCGCTAGAAAAATGTGAAACTTATAGAATATGCATTACAAACATGTATGAGCAATAGTCCAAATGACGTTAAATATACTTGAGCTAACTTATATACCTTTGTTGTTCTAAGACTTTTAGTGTTAAGTAGTGTAAAAGAATTACAACACCTTGAACATGTCCTAGGATGGATCCCAGCAAGAAAGAGCATCGAGGACCCGCCCCTTCCAACCTTGTACCATCCATTGGGCGGCCTCATCCACAAAAAAGTCCCTGTGAAAGTTAGCCTTCACCTTAGCTTTTATTTTCTTTATGATATCCTGGTTTAGTGGAAGCTGCTTGAACCCAGCCCTAAGAGTTCGCACTTGCCAACTCTTATATGTTTCTCTCCTTTCAATCCTCTCCAATCCTTCAGATGCTATGATATTCAAAATTTCTTTCCCACATATCTCAGTCTCACACATCATCCTCGTTGGACTTTTTCTTGGCATGGTAGCCTCAAACATGTCAAAGACTACAGAGAAGTAGAATAAAGCCTCACGAAACCTTGAGACGAAAAATGGGGAGTTAAGTGGGCCATTTAAAATACCATGGAGAAAAACATCAGGATTGATTCTCTTGATCAATTTCAAAACAACATCCCTTGGACTATTCTCCAAAAAAGAGTCATCCATAACATAGTGAAACAAGTATGAGCACATAACAACTAGCACTTCATCTTTGTGAATTTTTAGATCCTCAGGGTCAACAGCTTCCCATTTTTGTGTCATACCATGGTATTCAAAGGGAACGTTAAACTTCTTACAGTAGTTTACCCAACGACGCCTTTCTCGTTCAACAATGGCAGTTGGCTCGAAACCTGGCTCAGGAAAGTCTATTGAAGTGAAGCGAAGCTTCGGAGGGCCACAGGGTCTTTGAGAGAGTTGTTGAATGAGGGGCATAAAATGAATGGTTCGTCTACCACTGAATTGGATGATGTGAAGGCTAGTTGCTTGCCTTGCAAATTCCAAAATTGTTTGAATTGCGTAGTAATACGATGCATTCGTGAAGGGAATTGCTGAAATACACAGTTTGTAAACTTCCAAAGCATCAGAAGTTGACCTCTCCTTAGTTGTAAGACTTCTATATATTAGGTTCCCCGTTCCTGCTAAGCGAGCTTCAAGCCCCTTAGCAAAGCAATGTGCCAACCTTTGAGATACATTGCCTGAAGGAGAAGACAACTGCTTTATCTGCTTTAGTAGTTTATTTGTTGTATTATGATCATTACTGGCCACAGATTCCATGCATAGCATCAGAAGATTCTTCATATCAAAATGATCCCCTATGTTGATATGTTTCTTTGGGTAGCTAGCTCCCTTGCTACGTCCTTCTACCTTTCCATCCTTTGGCAAGATACCATCATTGGAATTTGATGTAGCCCCGTCCTTGTCGCAATTAAACTGCAACATTTTATCAAGCATCTAAGATAATATCAAGTCTTCAGTAGAGATGCCCAATTGATTGGTACCCCTCCCTGCCTCCAAATCATTCTCACCTTGAACACTTGTGCCACACTCCAACCTATTTGTCAATTCATCCTGGTCCTTTTCTACCTTGTCTTTTCCCTTTGAAATCCTTATATTTTCCCTCATGCCCCACTTGAGTTGCAAACTTAATTGACTATCCACTGGTACATTAGTGGGAGGCTTCATCAGCATTGGCCCATCAACCGAATCAGAGGAGTTGTTTGGAGTGCGGTCTAGTGATGATTTGGACATAAAGGTCTTATGAACTGGAGGATTTAGGACGTGGGATGAATAGCAGAAATCCTTAGTAAAACCAGTTTGGGCAAAGTTGCTTGCACTCACATGGCCATTAAAACAATAGCCAGGACTATTAGAAATGGTAGCGTCCAAACTGATTGAATCCTGATGATGAATTGGTTCACTGGACGATGGACAATGAATGCCATTAAGAATATCATAAAGGGCCTTCTCAGCAGCACGGAGAGTGGAATCTTCAATAAAATATGCCTCAGCTTCAGCATCATCTTCCATAAGCACCTGGTTTATGTACTTGAGCTTAGGATTGTGGAAGTAAGCCTCCTCCATAAATTGTGCTTCAACTTTCTCAGAAGGGGATGTTTTGCCAATTCCATGGTCTGGAACCGCTAAACCGAAGGAGAAATCTGGGCTATTATGTTGCAAAGGAACACCCTCAAAACCTTCATCCAAGTTGTGATCTAAATTGGCTGAAATATAATTCTCACTGAACCCATATTCATTACTCAAATTCCGAAATTCTTCCATAATTAAGTTCGTTAGACAGCTTTGTCATGGATAAATTTCTTCATAATCCAAACCTACCTGTGACCGAAGAGCTAAAATAGCAACCTAGTTAGCTGGACTCGATGCTTTGCCAGATAATCAAAATTACATATACTCCTCCATTTTCCTTTTTCATTCAAATAAAAAAAGGGAAAGCAGCAAGAAGCAACAAAAAAAGAAATTAACTAATTCCAGAGAATGAAATAACCATAACAACAACCTCACTTGTCAATCCTCTTGTGGGTTTAGGAATGGTAAAGCAGAGCAGCAATGAGAAAATATCTGTATACGCATTACTAGGCGAGAATATTTTAACAGAATGAATTTGAACGTCTGGAATATAAAAGAAATTAACAAGAAGAGCTAAAATAGAAAATCTCTTTATTTCTCATTTCTAATCTGCGGCCGGGTTTAGTTCTTACCTCACAGAGACCCAACGCAAACAGATTGAATGCATCTCCAATACGATGAATGGAGAACAAAGTATAACAGAGTTCAGCGGCAACCACACCTGTAACTCTCTCTCCTAAAGAAAAGTCAAAAACTTCTTGTTTGGGCAGAGCTGAGATTGGGTAGTGGGTCTTCGTCTTTGAGCCCTCTCCGTCGCTGTCGTTTGTGAGTGTGGACTTCGAATTATGGAGGCTGGTCGTCGGGCCACTGAGGATGTCCCACGTATAACTCTGTATTTGAACAGAAAGAGCAATCAAACAGAATTTAACATATCACGTAAAAAAATATTATTTAACACGATCCAGATCTTTCTCAAAATCACACAATGGTTTAGTTAGTTTGGTTTGGATATTAAAGACGACAATTGAGGAAATTGGGAGGGACTCCTTTTCTAAATCTCGTCAGAAGGGCAATAGAGTGGGAGAGGGCGGAGAGAGCTATTATTTATTTGTAATATTTAATTTTCTTTTATAATTTTTAATTCATCTTTAATTTTGTAGAATTCACTTTAGCAGTAGATTAAAAAAAATGAATTCAGAAAAGTGAATGTGCAAAAATGAATTTAAATAAAATAGATTTAGAAAAAATATTGAATTGTATTTCTGAAAATGGCTAATAAATCATAAATATCTAATTTATTTAAAAATATTTTTATTATTAAATATTATATATATGTATATTAATTATACCTATATAAAGGTTGTTTTTGCCGATTTTTACTGTTCCCAAAATGGTTTTTGCTCCGTAATAATTTCATGGATTCATGAAAGAGGCGGGTAGCCATAAGGATCACTTTGTAAGTTCTCTAAGCAAACAGATGTTAGACTATATATTAGACTACCAGTACCTGTAAGTGCGCTTCGGGGACGTCATGGGTCAAAGACCATATTTCAAGAACCCACCTCGGCCCTACCTCAAATTTTTTGGACTGGAAAATGATCAAAACTCACCACGTGCACTTCCTGAGATTTAAACCTTAAATTACAATTTATCTATGTTGAAGTACGGGTGCTAAACAATTGATTTTCTCCTTGACAAGGTGGGCTCAGTGCAAGGTGCTTCACCTCTAGGGACACCCTTTAAAGGTGCATTTGGATAAAAAATTTTTAAAAGTACTTATCAGAAATGATTTTTGTAGAAATAATTTTGTAAAAGTAGAAGTTATTTTACTTTTCTAGTGTTTGGATAAAAAATATTAAAAAATGATTTTACACTTTCACTCCACTGCAATTCAACTTCTCTCACAATGATCTCTAACAACGGTGAGGCGAAGATAATAAAAAACCTAGGGCTTCAACAACAAAGAAGCTAGGGCTCTAATGATTGTGGAGCATATAAATTTGCTAAGATGACGAAGAGGCAAAGACGACAATAGTCTCTAATGACGATTGCCGATGCGATCTAGGTGGCCTTCCAAATGGAAAAGGGCATCAGAAGGATATGGAAGATGTAAGAAATAGTCCCGACCATAATGATCAAGTTGACAACAAACTCGATAATAATCTCTTGTGGTTGGTGGAGCAAGAGGCTCAGCTTTTCTTTTTTTTCTTTTTTTTTTTCTCTTCTAATGGATGCCTTAACTTTAAAACTAGTTATACCAATTTCTCAGAGAAAGTACTCTTTTTTTTTTTGCAATTTCTACCTTATTTTCCCAATAATCCTACGCACACAATCTAAAATAGATTGGAAGTATTTTTTATTTAAAAAAGACACTTTTTTTTTGTAAAAAAGCCCATGCAAACAGGCTCCTCGAAAGTGATTGCAAGTTTGGCAGAGATGCCACCCCTCGTTACGTTACCTTGTTGAAGAATCTAATGACTTAGACATTGATATTATCCATAATTGACATCACATAACCTCTCATGGCATCATAATCAGTTGAGGAATTAAGGCAGCAACAACCCTCTAGGATTCCATAGCCATAATTGCAAAATATCATAATCAACATAATCGGAAAATCCATTATAACAAAATCCCATACTTAATATAATTGAAAATCATATTACAAAATTACATAACACAAAAAATACGAGTCTCTCATACTTAGGCATGGTGTATGCGATAAAGTGAAATCACAAGCGCTTATATACACTTTTCCTTTTTACTTTCTACACTCAAGGTCAAATATTGTGAACCTCCTAAAACCACAACGTGACACATAAGAATTTTTCATTACTGAGAAATTGGAAGTTGAAAGGTGGAATTGAGTACTCATATACTATTTTTCTCCTCTGTCTCCTCAACTCAAGGTCAAACATTACAAACCCATTTAGTATTTTGGATATTCAAATATAATAATAGAACTCAAGTAGAGTATTTGTAGAATGTATGAATATGAAAATATTATAATTTTTATGTAAACATGATATGGTTAAAACAGTGCCCGTGTTAGTGTCCACGTTTGTTTTCTCATCCATGTTGACCTCCACATCTACTCTTGTTATCAATTAAGGTCCCATTTGATACTATTGATAAGCCAGAATAAGTCTACCTTATCAAGTATTATACCATGTTCAGTTCTTTTAATAGGCGACTCGGATAAAAAACTTAGGCGGCCACTTTATCCTTCCTTATTCTACTATATCAGGATAACTTTATCTAATAAGTAAGGTATAATAAAGTTATTAGGCCTAATCAGGATAAATTTTTTTCTTTTTTGAACATTTTTTCCCTGCCGTCGCCATTTGCCGTTACTATTGCCTCCTTCATTCACTGTCGTGGTCATCGCAGTTGTCTGTGATTTTGGAGTGATAGGAAGAACTATCTTCTTCCCTCATTTCCCCTTCCTCTTCCCTCTATGATTCTAGAGCGACAAGTGGCGGTGATCCTCTTGCTTCACTCTCTCTTCGCTTTCCTTCTTCTGATCTACAATTTTGGAGTGGCAAGAGAATGACAATTTGCGCTAGAGTGATTTCTATTTCTTGATCAACAATCCAAATCTTGATTGACAGTTGATGATCTAGATCTGGATTTATGATCGCTTGGTCACACTGTCGCAAAGGTCGCTAGTTGCGACAGTCACCTAATGTCTGGTTGCTCCAATTGCCACAATTGCTGGAATCTTGTTTCTCTAAAAGATCATCCAGCCAACAAAATGGTCTCTCAGTATTTTTAGCTATCAAATTGGTCCAAAATTATCCATCTATCACATTAGTCTTGTCACTGACTCCTTAACTTAGGCCCTATTCGGTATATAGGTTAGGATATAGCAAGTATGGCAAGTGCTTATAAAATTATCTTAACTAAATAATAATTTTATCTTTGTCTATATTTTGGTAGTTTATAACTCTAATGTTGAATAAAAATCTAGATAACGTGTCAAATTACTAAAACAACCCCAAACAACTAGCATTAACTCCAAAACTACTTCTACCAGTTTCTTAGAGAAAGTAGTGGAATGCATTTTTTTTTTTTGCTATTTCTACTTTTTTGTCCCCAGTAATCCCATGCACACAATCTAAAATAGACTTGAAGTATTTTTTATTTAAAAAAAGCACCTTTTTTGTAAAAAAAGCCCACCCAAACAAGCTCCTTGAAAGTGATTATATGTTTGGCAGACACCATCCCATCATTTGTTCCCCTCCTTAGAGAACCTAATGACTTGAACATTTATATTACCCATAATTGACATCACTTAATATGTCCAGAATTGTCTAAAATATTTGACATAGCCTCTCATGGCATCATAATAAATTAAGAAATTAACTCAGATACAACCCTATAGGATTCCATAGTCATAAAGTGTAAAATCCCATACTTAACTAGAAATCCCATTATAACAAAATCCCATACTTAACATAATTGAAAATCCCATTACAAAATTACATAACACAAAAAAAAAAGTGTCAAATACTCAAGCATGGTGCATGAGATAAAGTGAAATAACAAGCACTTATATACCCTTTTTCCATTTTACTTTCTATACTCTAGGTCAAGTATTGTGAATCTGCTAAAATCACAATGTGACGCATAAGAATTTTTTATTATTAAGAACATGGTAAGTTGTAAGGTGGAATTGAGTATTGTTACCCTCTTTTTCTACTCTATCTCCTCTACTCAAGGTCGAACATTAGAAACACATTAAGTGTTTTGGATATTCAAATATAATAATGGGAATCCAAGTAGAGTATTTGCAGAATGTATAAATATGAAAATATTATAATTTTGATGTAAACATGATATAGTTTTGAATTTTTAAAAAAGCAATAAGACTTCGTACTAGTGTGTTTATAATTGAAAAAATGTGTGAATACATCCGTGCTTGCAAATACAACAATATTAACAAGAATCACGAGTATATGAGAATATTTAAGTTCTGTAGACAAGGGGAACAAGTCCTTGTCACAATATATATAAGACTACATCCTCACAAACCTAAATCTATGAGTTAAAAAACTCGCCACAATCAAATATAAGTGAGATAAAAATACTTACATTATAACCACATAATTCGATATGGTAAGGTTGGATAGATCTTGAGATTCACACACTAATTTTTTGGTAAAAGAAAAGTTTTTACTCATCAAAAGCTA